ATATTTCTGCTGTATGTAATTCATTTCATTTCTTCCTCTTCAGGCTGTGCTGAGTCCTCTTATAGCGATCGCACTGAAAATATCTCAGATCCATGAGAGGACGGGGAGAAAGGGACCCACTGTCATCACCTGAAGCTGTGGAGGATTGTTAAAACAGAGCCAAAAGAGAAACAGCAAGGAAGAGATAGGACTTTGCTGAAACATGTTAGATGTTTGTGCCTTATATGGTTTAAAAACTTTTCTTGGGGATAGAGGGAGGTGGAATGAAAAATTCAATGTCATGTCAAGCATATTCAGTTACATTGATCTCCAAAGACAGTAGTGTATTAACTTCTTTGTTTTACCTGTAATATCTTTATTTTAGATAACGATATAATCACAGAAAAAGTCCTTAACTCCTAAATGTTGCCAGCGATGTGACAGAAAAGGCAAACTGCTTATTTTTGAATACTATGATAGTAGTTGAGAAATTTTGGTTATGGAGAGAAGGGAAGAAGCTGCAAAGCAAAGACATGTTTGGGATCCTTGTATCCTTATTGTTGGTTTACAGAGACGTATGCAGAACATGTCTGGGGCCTAAGGGCTCTGTGCTCAGCTTTGTGAAGCGTGCATTTTCTCATCTGACATCACTTCTCCAATCTCTCATGTTGCTCACAAATACATGCTGGCAGCAGTGTTGTATACACACTTGCACATGCTCTCAAAGAAAGTGTCGTCCCATATTTTTTTAACCCTGCTTTTAAAGCATATCAGTCCTACTTGTGCCTTTGCGTTTTCTTGATTTTTGACTTTTGAGGCAGTTGTGCTGTAGAAGCTGATTGTGTCCTTGCAGCAATATGTTGGGTATAGAATCTTGGCTGTCTTTTGTGATATTCCTTATGCCAGAAGATGAAGCTGGTGCTTATTATGTTTGAAAGACAATTGCTTCAAGTTCAGCAATTTTACAGAAAGAAGTTATGATGGAAATTCTTAAAGTCTTTGCAATAGTAATGTTCCACTTAGCACAAAGTGGCTAGTGAGGTGTGTAGTGAAGAGGAAATGTAAACAAACACAAATAACTTGTATCATTCAGCAGCTGGACTCAGCTTTTGTTAGTTCTTTTCTTACAGTGGATCATGAAGTAAAAAGTTAGGGAGTGCCAAGAGTGAAGAGATGACCTGTTATCTGTTATCTGAATCTGAGAAGGACATCTGGGGATATAGACATCAGCATTTTTCTGCTTGTGAAATGATACTGCAGTTCTAGCTACACGCAAAGACTTTATGCATGTGACTTGTTTGAAAGCTTTGCTTCCTTGGGAACAGTGTGGTCACTTGTATGATTTCTTAAGGTGGCTTTGTTCCACCTGTCTTTCCGCAGTGTGTTTCATTTCATTGTGGCTGTCAAATCTAATGCAATTTATATAACATTGCAGCAAAAGAAACTGGTTTTGATTTCTTTCAACACTTCTGTCAAATAAATTCTATGACACTAAGTACACAGTAAAGAGAAATGCTATATTTCTGTCTTGTTGGCAAGACACACTGCACTTTCAAGCTTCCTAATAAAACTGCTTTTCATACAGTTACACTGTCTTCATGATTGACTCTAAACAGATGAGCACTCAGAGATGGGGCCCCTCTGCCTCTATTGTTGGTTCACAGTTTTATCAGGTCTGGAAATTGTAACGGTTGTTCAGCTGCAATTGTGCTAGCATTTATTTGGACAGTCATTTTCTCTCTCAGAACATGATATTTTTGAGTATCTGTCGCTAATTAGCAAACAAGTTTGCGAAATGGAAAGAGAGAGATAAAGGAAATAAAGGGAGCACAGTCTAAGAAGGATAGATGCACTTATGTATTGTATTAAAGAAAACGGTCCATAATCTCATGTGCCTATTGACAATATATGAACTGTGGTGATAATTTTATAGTCAAAGTATAGTCTGTATTAGGTGCTGTGAGGCCCATTTTGGAGCAGTATGGAATGATGACTGACAACTCACTTAAGCAGTTTACAAAAGCACAATAATTGAGACTGAATTATTGAAAACAATGAGAGCATAATGCCCATGTGATTAGAAACAGCAGATTGTTTTGAGTAGTCTCAAGGAGGGAGCGTGGTTTTTATATGCAAACTACTTACATCTGCTCTCCAGCATCATGTGGTTTGAGCTAACTCATAAAATAAGAGGAAATTGCCTCCTAGCACAGCCAAATGGTTACTACATTTTCCCTTTGGAGTGGTGTCCTTCTAAAAGAGAATTAGCAGCAGCATGAGAAGCTCGCTGTGTTCACAGACAGCTTGGATGGCAGCAGTGCTCACAAGAATTACAGGATCACATATCATTAGGGCTGAGAGGGACAGTCTAGCCCATCAGGACAATGGTCAAAGAATCATAAGATCATAGAATTGTTAAAGTTGGAAGGGACCATTAAAAGTTACCTAGACCAACTCCCCTGCAATGAACAGGGACATCCACAGCTAGATCAGGTGCTTAGAGTCCCGTCCAGTCTGACCTTGAGTATTTCCAGGGATGGGGCATCCGCCACCTCTCTCGGTAACCTGTTCCAGTGCCTATCATCTGTATTGAAAAAATCTTTTTCCTTATATCCAATCTAAATCTTTTAGTTTGAAACTATTTTCCCTTGTCCTGTCACCACAGACCTTAATAGAGAGTCTGTCCCCTTCTTTCCTGCAGTCAGTCCCCTTTAGATAACTTGAAAGGCAGCTCTCAGATCTCCCCAGAGCCTTCTCTTCTCCAGGCTGAACAGCCTCAGCTCTCTCAGCCTGTCCTCACAAGAGAGGTGTTCCACCCCTTGGATCATTTTTGTCACCCTTTTCTGGATGTTCTCTAGCAGGTCCATGCCTCTCCTATCCTGAGGACTCTACATCTCAACAGTGCAGAGTAGAGAGGCAGGATCACCTCCCTTGACTTGCTGGCCATGCCTCTTTTGATGCAGCCCAGAATGCAGTTGTCCTTCTGGGCTGCGAGGGCACAGTGCTGGCTGTTCAGTTTTGTTCAGTTTAGTTCAGGAAAGATTGAGGACAACTGGAAAGGTCAGCTGAGGTCTGTAGATGTGGTTAGGGACTTGGGTAATCTCCCTTGTAAGGAGAGGCTGAGGGTGTGGAGTGTTCAGCCTGGGGAAGGGAAGACTTAGAGGGGATCTTATCAATGCTTTTGAATATCTAGAGGGTGGATGCCAAGTGGATGGGGCCATGATCTTTTGAGCAGTGCCCAGTGACAGAACAAGGGGCAACGGACACAAGGAAGTTCCATCTGAAAACAAGAACGAACTTTAATAGTGACAGAGCATTGGAGCAGGGTGCCCACACAGGCTGTGGAGTCTCTCTGGAGATACTCAAAACCCTCTTGAATGCCGCCTTGTCCAACCTACTGTAGGGACGCCTTAGCATGGCGTTGCACTAGGTGATCTCCAGAGGTCCCTTCCAACTCTGCCCTTCCAATCATGGATTCTGTGATTCTGTGACATATTTCTTGTTATCTGAAATTATTTACTACAGTGGCCTGGATGCAAGTTTTCTTCTGTGATTTTGCAAAAGGAAGGAAGGAAGCATGTGACAAAGGATGAGTCCAAGCTTGTCCTCTTTCCAGTACTTTCAGTCCCATTTTTATTCCTCACAGCTCTTAAATAAGAGCAATTCAAAAAGCAGCTGCTTAAATAACAGCAAATCTAAAAGCTCTGCTTTTAGAGAGCTTGGAGAGGGGCCTGAGCAGCTTTTTCCACCATGCTAGTTCTCTCTGAGGAGTTGCACACCTAACCAGGATTGTTTAGCAGTTAGGAAGTGTAGCAACTCCTAAGGTTTTGTACTGTGTACTTTCCTTTAACTGCTGGCACCTTGTATCATACAAGTGAATGCATGGCATTGGTTTTAAATCAAAATTTATTCACAAATTCAGTAGTTAACTACCAAGTACTAGTACTTCAGAACAAAACAAGTAGCTTACAATATATGCTACAAAAATACTCAGTTACTACAAATGTTACAAATTCCAGACAAAAGCTGGTGAATTAGTAGGTTTCCCAAGTCAGCTATTGTTATAAAACCACAAATGAGGACTTTCAGCCAAAACTCCTTGTGAGACACAAGACGTTTAGGACTGGTAACAGCATGAAACTCCTTAAAATCATAGAATGTTTTGAGTTATAAGGGACTTAATGGATTATCAAGTTCCAAGCCTCCTGCTACAGTCAGGGTTGCCAGCTGTTAGATCAAGTACCAGCTCAGGCTGCCCAGGTCCCATCCAGCCTGGCCTTAAACACCTCCAGGGACGGGGCATCCACAGCCTCTCTGAGCAGCCTGTGCCAGCACCTCATCACACTCTCAGTGAAAAACTTCCCCCTTACATCTAATCCAAACACTGTTTAAAACCATTCCCCCTTGTCCTGTCATTGTAAAATGTTAAACAGGATTTCCCTCCTGTTTATAATCTTCCTTTAAATACTGAAAGGCCATAAGAAGGTGTCCCCACAGCTTTCTTTTCTCCAGACTGGACAAGCACAGTTCTCCCAGCCTGTCTTTATAGGAGAGGTGCTCCAGCCTTCAGGTCATTTTTGTGGCCTTCCTCTGGACCCCCTCCAACAGTTCCACATCCTATACTGGGTGCCCCAGGCCTGACACAGTACTCCAGATGGGGCCTCACATGGGCAGAGCAGAGGGGTACAATCACCTCCCTTTCCCTGCAGGCCACCCCTCTCTGATGCAACCCAGAATACCACTGGTCTTCTGGGCTACAAACACTCACTGCTGTCTCACGTTTTTCATCGACCAGAACCCCCAAGTTCTTCTCAGCAGGGCTGCTCTCAGGAAATTCTCCCATCATTAGCATCTTTCTCGCAGCATATGAAATGACTCCTATTGTCAGTGACATCGACTTTTCTAAGATACAACATTCGTTTGCATGTCAAGAGCATTTCTGTGCACGGGAAGCAGAAAAAAAAAAGTAATACTTTTTATGAAAAAACAGCTTGTTAGGTTTTTCATTTATGGCCAATTAAAAAACCACAATATTAAGCAGTAGGGTTTTTTTTTCTTTCCTATTTCATGCAAATCTTAAAGGATCTGATTTTGTAAGGTAACTTTCCTGCATGCATATTTCCTTACCTGACTGAAGATATCAGACAACAGTGATTAAGTAACAAAGCCCCTGGTGCCTTCTGGGTAGAATTGCTTTAGCATTGAGCTTTAAAGCCGTAGTTGCAATGAAGCTAGCAGATGATTTCCCACTGATTTCTGTTTCCTCAGAGCTGCTTACTGTTACATTTCTTTCAGAAGGATTTGCAGTTACACCGACACTATAATGGACAGGCTGTCAGAGCAGCAGTGCTCGCACCTAGTGGGAGGGGCAGGGGTTGTCTCTTACCCACTGGGTAAGCACCAGCCTCCAGCGAGTGCCTCCCGCAGGCTGCGCAGTAACAGCAGGGTGTACCTCTCCATGCACCTACCTATGCTCTCCTGACATAGCCGACAGCTTGTTTGCTCTAAGTCCCTTGGTAGTGTTACACAGAGGTGACTATTTCCATGTGAAGAAACACTGTGATCACATTGGGTGGCATTTCCTTAAGCAAACGCTGCAGACCTGTGAATCTCCTTTTTTGAAATGCTGAGCACCTTTCTGCTTTCCCCCTCCAGCTTCCCTCAAATATGAAAACAGACAGTGCTTTTCCCGGGTGGCTCTGACCTGGTTGATGCAGGCCCAGGCAGCACTGACTGACGTCACTGCCCGGCTGTCCCGTGCTCTGTCTGAGGTCCCTTGTCTGCCTGTCTGCTGTCAGCAAGCATTGTCCTGTGCGGGTGCACAAGCATCTGACTCCTGCATGGGGCTCAAGACCTGGCCAGGTAGTTCATATGGTGGGGGCTGCTCTGGCTCGTTAGTCTCACTGACAGGCTCTGTGCTGCTCTCGCTGTACGGAGGTGGTGGAATGTTAATGACTTCTTGCTCTTTTGGTGCAGAGGCCACAGGTAGTGGGAAGGTCTGCTTCTCAGGGTCAGTGCTGTCTTCATAGGATGGCGGGTAGAAATCAGGCCTGAAAGAAAAGCAGCAAACCAAAATGAAGTGCATCATGGTGAAACGTGAATTGTCTCTGAGAGCTTGGTGAGGAGCTATCTGCTGTGTTTCCAAAGTTTAGTTGAGGCTTAAGCTTTATATGGAAACCCAGGCAAGGTTCAAGACGTGCAATACATAAATGCAAAGGAACTGGCATAGTTATTGGCTATGGCTCATTACCCGTGTCTTTCTCCACAAACTTTTGTTAAAACAAGAAATTCAGACATGAGAGAGTTCCCATGAAATACACATGGGTGTATTTCAGCAAGTGCAAGAGATAAGTTCGATTTGGAGAAAGAGAGAGATCACTGCCTGAAGTAGCTTATTTATTTAGTATTATAATAATCATTACTTTACACAGTTTTAAATTACACATAGCATATTCCTGCTTGTCTAACCAAAATTTGCTGAATGTTGTATACAGAGTGTTTTCAGAATACCCATTGCCAGTGTTTCTGGTGTGGTTTCCACAACAGTCTGTGAAAACTAATCTGTATCCAGTGACCCCGTAAAAAACACTCTCAGGCCCAGCACCAGTCAGTGTAAGAAAATGTCTCTCTGAGCATCAGACTTTGCTCCTAAATAGTGGGAACAATTATGCAATAACACTTTAGCTAGGACCATATAGGGAGCTGTAGCTCGCTGCATACTTCCTTGAGCAGAGTGGCTAGAATAGCGATATGGGAGCACAGCCTGCAGGGCAAAACCCGTGTGGTCCATTGCAGTGCAACTAGTGATGCTTTGGCAGGATCTTCACTGCTGTCAGCGGCTGTACCTGCTCCCTCTATGAATTCATTTGAAGCTTTCTGTGCAACCTGCTATGTTTTCAGGGATATACCTTACCTTACTTGCTGTTTTGTATTGCTTCTGGCTCTTGCATTGCACTTCTGTTCTCACAGTATGCTTAATGTTAAGCATCTCTCCCTGTCATTCATCGGCAACAGTTCTGTAGCACGTACCTGTCTATGGTGCTGACACGGAGCTCTGTAAGGCCAGGGTTTCTCGTGAAGATGTTGCTGAGGACCCCGTATTTCATGGCTTCATGGACCATGCTCCAGAAAATGCCAGTCACAAGGAGCAGGAGTCCCAGAGCTAACAGGCAGTAAGCAACCAACGTGCTATTCCTGCATCTGCATGCAGAGGAACTTGTGTAGATGCAAAGGATTCCCAGGCAAATGATGGAGAAACTGAGTAAGAGCACAGAAAGACGAATGAGGGAAAAAACAATTTTTTTCATGTTTCCCAGCAGACACAGCACAAAGCTCCCACCCGTTGTTTGTTTACTGTGTGTCTCAGCTGTGCTTCTCATCTTTGTGCAGCACTATTTTATACACATCAGCACTGACTGGCCTTTGGACAATTAAGAGAAACAGACAATTTTAAGATACTCATTAACTCTGTAAGATACTCATAATCTCTTTCGAGATTAATTTGTAATCTGAAACCAGCAAACAAACTTCCTGCACCAGTTTTTTTTGCCACTGCTACCTCTGGAGTTCTTACTGAACTGCTGCATTCATCACAATGAACAGTGGCCACACACTTTGCTGGTTGGTGAATGACGACTTCTGTATCTATCTGTCTTAAAAAGAACAACAACAACAAAAAAGGAACACAAAACACTGTTGAGATGCAGATAAGGGCAGAGAGACTGCCAGGTAACCTATGGCTGATATGATAAACCATGTGAAGTCAGTCAAGTGCTTCCCACCTTTCAGTACCTTCTCAAAATCCCATCAGGCCGTATTTCCTGTCACCTAGTTGTATTTTCTGATATGGGTATTCAGAACTCATGTTCACATATAGTTTCCTGAAACTCATGCTCGCGTGTGGTTTCCTTACTGTATGCTCTCAGGTCAGTTATTCTGACAAGGAAATAACCTTCCCACTGATTGATTACACTCTTGTCAGCATCTGGTATGAGGACATCACTCATTAATATCTTGGGATTGTTGTGCACAACAGCAATTCACAGAAGTACTTGAATACACCAAATCTCCAGAATGCCTCGGATGCAGAAATCTGCCATTTACATTCCACTGAGGTGCCTTGAGCCTCTGATATCTTTCCATATATCTTCATATGATGTAACCTGGAAAGCAGGTTTCAACTACCTGCTTATTTCTATGGTGCTCTGCCAGGCGGGTCTGCCCTTACCACCATGTGGGCGAAGGCCCACAGCATTCCATCCAGGCAGGTGGTGGGTTAGTTCAAAATATTCTTGGGCTTGCCACCATCTTTGCCTGCAAACACCAGAAAGAGAGATGTCCACAGCTCACATAGAGGCTGCTCCGCATTTCAGTGTGTGTGGATACATGGACAACACTGTTTACAAGTCTTTATCTAAGGGATTCAGCACTGTGTGCTAGTTGCTAAGCTATTTCCTACGGAATAACAATAATAATAATAATAATAATAATAATAATAATAGTAGTAGTAGTAGTAGTAGTAGTAGTAGTAATAGTAGTAGTAGTAATAATAGTAATAATAATAATAAAGTTTACTCAGAAATTAGAAATAAGAATGTACCTTAACCTAATGCCAAGTTAATTTTCCAGTCCTCATTATAAGAAAAACTCCTCCACATGTACCTCTGAATTGCATATATTTTGTAATGAGCAGTAATATTTTGCCTTTGTGATACTGTAGCTTACAGTCAAGCTTGCTCAGTTTGAAATCTCCTGTACCCAATTTCCATCTTAGACAAAGGAGAGGAGTGTTGTGTATTGGTGCTTTTATTATAGAATCACAGAATTATTTGAGTTGGAAGGGACCTTTGAAGGCTATCTAGTGCAACTCCCCTGCAGTGAGCAGAGACACCTACAGCTAGACCAGGTTGCTCAGAGCATCATCCAACCTGATCTTGAATGCCTCCAGGGATGGGGCATCCACCACCTCTCTGCAACCTGGGCCAGTGCCTCACTACTCGTATAAAAAACGCCTTCCTTATATCCAGCCTACAGCACCGGTCCCAGTACTGACTCACGCTGGATGCAACTCATCTCTGATCTTCATCCAGATGCTGAGCCACTGAGCACCACGCTCTGGGTACAATTTCACAACTAGCTTAATGGATTTTAGTTCCCATGAGGGGGAATTGTTTATAAATATCTAAGTGTGGAAGTCAAGGTGTTGAAGGCAGACTGTTTTTGGTGGCTAATGGAAAATTCCACACAAACACAAACAAGTACTTGTCAGTGAAATGCAGCACTGGAATAGGCTACCCAGAGGGGCAGTGGTGTTTCCTTCCCTTGATGTATTCAAGACCTGACTGGATGCTTTTTTGTGCAACCTGCTGTAGAGAACTGTCTTTAGCAGGGAGTTAGTTGGACTCAGTGGTTTCCAGAGGTCCCTTCAAATCTACAATTCCCTGATTCTGTGAAGTCTCAGTTTGCCTGCACATCCATGGTGATAACCACAAGCCCTCCGCTTCTGAGCTTGCACAGCATTTGGAAGCTGTGTTCCAGCAACTCTGAAGGATGAACTAACAAAACTGATCCTAAAACTGTCTCAAACCCAGAATGGACATAGAGTCACAGAATCACGGAAAGGCTTGGGTTGGAAGAGACCTCAAGGATTCATCCAGTTCCAATTTCCTACCATGGACTGGGCTGCCACCCTCCAGCTCAAGCAGCCCAGGGCCCCATCCAACCTGGCCTTCAGTGCCTCCAGGAACAGGGCACCCACAACCTCTTTGGGCAGCCTGTGCCACTTCACTGTCTCAGTGAAAAATTTCCCATAACATCTAACAGAAATCTCCTCTTTTAGTTTAAAACCATTCTGCCTTGTCCTGTCAACACATTTAGACAGTGTGGATGGTAAACCTATATATATATATGTAGATACATTCTGTACCTACACAGACATCAATAAAAGAGGGAGGTGTTCCTTCAGAGGTAACACCTGCTGCACTATGTGCTAAGCTGCTCTCTGAGCAGCAAAATTGTTTCTTCAGTCCTACCACGCTCAACAGTGTCAGAGAATTGCAGTTTGCCAACCTGACACCCCACGGGGATGGAGAAGCCAACAGAGCTCCCAAACACTCTGTCTCCATTGTGGCTCCGAGCATCTGCCTGAGATGGTGTGCAGCCAAAGTTACCACACAGGAGCTCCTCTGCAGCAGTGCAAGTTACTTCACACTCGGGCAACAGATTCTTCTCTGAGAAGAGAAGGTCCCAGTGCCAGAAGGTAGAAAGATCACCAAACTCCATCGTCTTTGGGATGCTGCATCTTATACCGAGCAGTGAAATAGAAGCCATTGCTCTTACGATCAGTGTCGCTACTGGACCCGGGGAAGGAACCATCCTATGGCAATTTCTAGAAATCTGGCCATTATGTTGAATGTCTGAAAGGCTGAAAAATTAAAATGTTACATAATTTCAGTCTCAGCTGACGTTGTTTTCTCTCTGCGTGGCCTGATCCGCAGTGACATTAGAGATTAGGATCCTAGACACCTGTCAGCTACAAAAATGAGACTAAGCTATTTGTCATTGCAGGGTTAGTTAAACAATCTAATTGTTTAATTAAGCACTTCTATTTAATTAGTTAAACATCTTAGGCAGTCAAATGAACACCTTGAAAATGACCTATGAGTCATGATGCTTTGCTGTGCTCCACTGGTGAAACTATTGAGGTAATGCTTCTTCCTAACGGAGGCAGAAATAGGGCTCAGCATTACTGCAGCTCTTCATTTGTATTCTTCTTGAGGAGAATGCTGTAAGACAGCAGATCCCTGCCCTGGCAGATACCGACTGCTGAGTCACTTGGTAAAGATCAGGATCTGGCCCTAAAGGATTTGCAGTCCTCCTGGTGGGAAGGGGCACAGGCAGACAGGGTGGAGCAAGTACTTTTGGTATGCTGCCACGTTTGTCATATAGTTTGCAAGGTTTCATCTCACTTCCTACTCCTTGTCTTTATGGAGATTTAAACCTTTCTGGAGGTTTTGAGTAGAACAGGCTCCAAGCAGATTTTCCTCTGCATCTCTTTTTAGTGGTACTTCTCTCATAGAGAAGAAGGGGAATTGTATCTGCTGCCTTTGGGGAAGATGCGGCAGGAGGTTGCTGAAAGCTGGCCATGTCTGTGAGGGTGGCAGGAGCCAAGGGTGTGCAGGGGAACTGGCAGTGGGCTGCAGGCGCCCACAGGAACGTGAGGCTGGGTGGGTTCACAATGGCCCTGCCCACTGTACAGACCCCAGCCCCTCGTTCTGCTGGCACGTGGCTGTCTCTGAGTGCCCCTCAGCTCTGTGCTTCCTTGTTCCATACAGTCAGGTACATTCTTCCTGCAGTTCATTTTGCCCTGTAAACTAGCAGATCCAGCTAAATTACAGTGGCATTTTTTCCCATATATTTTGCACTTTTTTCTTACCTGCTAAACATATATAACTTTACAAAATCATTCTCCTTACTTCTGTGGGCCTTTGATGCTTTCAGACAGTGCAACTGGAAAAACAGTTGTTCGGGACTGCTAATGAAGTTCACATCATTGCCTGTAATTCGTATCTTCTATGATGCTTCAGCTTCAGCTTCCACATAACACTCTCTGAGATAACTGTGTTGATGAACAGGCAATGAGTAGGTAACGTGGTTTGTCCTTCATGATGCAGTGAGGAAGGAGGAACGGGACTCTTGGCTGTGGAATCTGCAGGCCTGACAGCTGCTCTGCGTTTGTGGGTCTTTCCATTTTTGCAAGCTGTAGGAGTCTGCTATGTTCGGCAAAGTAAAGTCAATGTCCACAAGCTGTCGGTATCTCGAGCTGAACACAGCGTTTCATTTTGAATCACTTCTTTGAATGACTCTTATAGAGTCAGCAAAGATGAAGGATGAGAGGCCCGAAATAGCCCCACAATATAATTTTCAGGGTTCTGTTATTTTTCTAATTTTCTGTTGCTTTATTTTCTTCAGTGTTTGTTCTTGGCCTTTTTCAACTCCCCTGTTGCATGTCAGCTAGGCTGTTTTATTGGCAATGAGTACCACAGGCTGCGTCAGACTGGATGAGCAGATTTCCTTTTTCTCTTACAAAACAGGAAGAAACTTGCTGCTAATGAGGGTCAGGTGGGAAAAGGGAGTAGCTAGCACAGTGTAAAGGTTGTGGAGCAGAACTGGCTGAAGACCAAGGTCAAAAGGTAGCAGTCCAGACGCACAAAAAGCAATTCTTAGGAAGTCCAACTAGAGATGAACTTAATGGATGTTCCACCGTACGATTTGACCACAGTGACTATTTTGCAATCGGCATTTCACTTGGAAAGGTCATTGCTCACCATGTATCCTGTAGAAACCTGTCATGCAGTTTTCACACAAACTGGTTTTTAGA